CCTCTCCCACTCCCCCTGCTTGTGTTCTCTCTCTCTCTCTCTGTCAAATAAATAAATAAAATCTTTAAAAAAAAAAAAAAGGATATTAAACAGACTCCATGCCCAGAGCAGAGCCAGACGCGGGGCTCGATCTCACAACCCTGAGATCATGACCTGAACCAAAACCAAGAGTTGGATGCTTCCCCAACTGAGCCACCCAGGCGCCTCGAAACTGCACATTCTTGACTCTTCTCCCTCCGCTAATGGCCACATGTTGATACTCTGTGCGTACACTGCTGTGCAATGCCCTTCCCAGCCATCTTCACCAACAGACTCCTCCTGTTCCTTCCCATAAGGCTGACGTCCCCTCCAGGAAGCCTTCTCTGACTGCCCTTCTTCCAGCCCCACAGCTCCTAAGCATCTCCCTTGACTATTGGGTTCTTGACCTGTTTCCCCAAAGATCTTGAAGGGCAGAGCCATGCCAAAGCCCTCTCAGGGCTATTCCTGGGTTTGGTCTCAGGCTCCCAGCGGGGCGCATCCGTGTCACTTTGAGCGGGGGACTTCAAGGAGTTCCCAGCAGTCCATGCAGAGCTGAGGGACCGACTCTGGACCAACTCTGGGAGCATCAGCAAGATCACTGGGCCCTTGGCCACCCCTGACACCTTCTAACGCAGGGGCCCTGGCCAGGCTGGAGTAGCCAAAGCCAGTTCTGTCGGAACACAGCTTAGCCAAATGTTTACAGACCTTCTCAGAGGACCTCATTCTGGAAATGGGGCCCAGAAGGGAGCCTTGGCCCCAGACTCTCCTCACATCATGCCAGGCAGGGCCAAGAATGGGAGCAGTCTCAGATGTTCCTGGCATCCTTTCTCTGAGGAAGTGAGCAGGCGGGGGAATGCAGGGGGGCACAGAAGTGACTTTTCCTCTCTCATGTTTCACGAAGGACCCTCCATCCATCAACCTGACAGTTGGGAGGGGGAGGGCTGTACCTCGCTGAGCCTGCCCCACGCCTAGCCTCTTAATGCATCAGATAGAAACCAGTCAGGATCCCCCTGGCCAGAAATAACAGCAGCATCCTGGAGAAAAGAGGCCGAGGGGATGGGTGTGGGCGGGCAGAGGGAAGGTGGAAAGGCTGATTCATCTCCCAGCTGTGGGGCCACAAAGTGTCACCCTTACCACCCAGCCCTGCAGACCCCAGCCTCTGCCCATCCCGGTGGAGTGTTCTTGGCCCTCTTTTGGTCTGGGAGGAATTGTCCTAATGCCCAGGGCAGAGCAGGGGAGCATGAGGATCCCCCTTGCTGCCTCCTGGCCTCTGTGCCCTGGCCAGGGCCGTGCCTTGTTGCCTCTTGGGCAGAAATGTATGGGACCAGCCTCCTCACATGGTTGTGGCGATTGAATGGGCCAGCAGGGCACCTGGCACGGAGTACAGTATATATAACACCCCCCCAAATGCTATGTGGGGAAACTGAGGCTTAGCCAGTACGGGGCGGCACTGAGATTTGAACCCAGCCCTGAGCGGTCCTGAGGCCCGAGCTCCAGGCAGGAAGGAGGCAGGCTGCAGGAGCTGGAGAGGGTTCTTCCTGACCTCCCTGTGCAACATCCACAGACCAGAGCACCATCCCCCCCCCCCCCACACACACACCCCTTCCTGGTTCCTCTGCCTCTCCCCCATTCCATTGAGACCCTGTGCTTGGTGCTGTCCCATCCCAAGCTCTCAGTTGCCTGATGCTCTGGCAACCTTGGGCTGCCCCCCTTCATGGTAGGAGCCGGAACATTTGCTGGGCAACTGAGTTCTCCAGTTCTCGGAAAAGAGAAAGGAAAGGAAGGGCCGGCTCCGGTGGAAGCCTACCCTGGGGACAGTAATCAGATCCTAGGAACCCTGTGGTTTGTTTCTGGTGGGTGCGTTTACAGATGTTTTTGTCTGGGAGTTGGGGAAGAAGATGAGGACCCATCCCTTCATGGGGGGTTCAGCAAGGGGCCCAGCAGGGCCTGAGGCAGCTGTGTTGTCAATAATTGAATGAACCTTCCCAGCTGACCAAGCACAGGCCAGGAGGGCAGTAGCCTGCCCAGCAGCGCTGGGGTGAGGGAATACTCTCCCTTGCCTCTGTATCAATACTCAACTTCTTGTTCAAATATTACATTGGAATGTCCTCCATCTAAATGCCTAACAAAGACAAAGGATGAGTGAGTAACTAAGAAGTGTGTTCCTGGAAGTCTGGCTTCATGGTTCACTTGTTCCTAAATCTCTGCTAGTCCTAATAGGGGCAGCCCAGTGCAAGGCATGCTGGGAATTCCTCTGTGAGGTCTGGGCTTGAGACTGGACACAGCTTTCGGGACCTGACAACCGGCCGTGGACTCAAGGGTGATTGGGCTATGGGGGAAGGAGCACCCACTTTCCTGGGCAAGGGGCCACATAGGAGGGAACCAAGGTGGTGGGTGAGACTGAACTGTGGAGGGGAGGTCCCCAAACAGGAAGACATTTGTCACAGCCGTGGTCCACCACCAACACAAATCAGAACCCAGCCCCCATCCCCACCAAGTTCCAACGAGAGAAACAAGATCTGAGAGGGGGCCTCTGGCTGCTAGAAACAACGCAGGGTGATTGAAACCACGAGGGCATTTATCGTCCCACATGATGTATCGGTTAAGGTACCCAGGGAGCTGCTATAATGAAAAAACTCCAAAAGAGAGTTGCCTAAAGACGGCAGAAGATTGTTCCTCTCTCACGTCATAGCCCCCAGGTGAGTACTCCGAGGCCCATGGGGCCGCTCTGCCATCCCCCAGATGGGGCATCTAAAAGGCTCCAGCTGCTGCCATTTTCCAGCTAGTAGGAAGGGGGGGAGAGAGTGCCCAGGGCCACCGGCTTTAATCCAGAAGTTTGCGTACACCCCTGCTCACATCCCATTGGCCTGGACTTAATCACTTGGCCACACCCAGCTGCCAAAGCTGGTCTGAAGCTGGGGGGTCAAACAGCCAGCTAAAACTCATCCTGTTCTATTCCTAAACAGATGGCAGGAAAAAGGGACCCAAGAGAACAGTTAGCAGTGTCTGTCACATAACCAGGAGTCTGGCGACAGAGTGCCTCTAGGGTTGGTTAAGTCAGTAGCTCATCGACATCTTCATATCTTCAAGGATCTCATGAGTTGATTTTTGGTCTCAAGCTCGTCCCCTCATGGCTCCAAGATTGTCGCCCCTGCTCCAAGCATCATACCCTCGTGCACTAATCAAAAAGGCAGAGTAGAGAATGTTCCTCCCTTGTGTCTGGGAAAACTTTCTCAGAAGCCCCCTTCTCCAGCTGACTTCCCCTAACTTTCGTTGGCCAAATAAGCAGCATGTGCCCATTCCTACCCCGATTACTAGCAGAGGGAGTCCAAATGCTCAGGGCAGAGCAGGGGAGCACAAGGATCTGTCTTCCCTGCCTCCTGGCCTCTGTGCCCTGGCCAGGGCTATGCCTTGTTGCCTCTTTTGAAGAAATGGATGGGACCAAGGACTGGCTTAGACCAATTGAGATTTACCCCCAAGGCCTGGGAAGGGTGCCCCACT